AAAGTTAAATGTTTTGCTATTATATTATTATTATTTTTCTAACTTATAATAGACGGTAAACAATGCTAGTAAATAAAAGACATAGTTTGGTTTTTTTTTTTGCATTTTTAAGTTCAGTAGGTTCATATGTATTGTTTTATTAAAATAGTTTTTACATTCTGCAAATCGATGTAATACAATTAAGTTTTACAAATACATACTATATACACATATCATATAATGTCGATATTTGATGATTTGATCTTGCATCCGCTGGAGAAATATTATTATTTTTTATTTTGCTAACATTTATGAATTCTATAGCCATTGTAATATTTCTGCATCAATGGTATTGAAATGGCTAAAAATTAAGTTTTGTTAGCGATTCGGCGGTTTTTGATCAGAACTTGGCAACCGTTGGCGATGTATTTCTTTGGATCTTGGATCTAAAATTAAGTTTTGTTGACAACTAGACGTTTTCTACCTTAAATGTAATTCGTATGGCTTAAATATGCTGATCTGAAGATAAGTGGATATACATACATACATACATGTATGGTATTTACATAAGATTATATCTACATATGTTAATTGTTATATTACATATTGTAGGAAATATATGACATTACGTATGTCATTAAACTCATAAACTAAGTATATATGTATGTACTTATATAGTAGTTTCCCACACATTTCCAATTTATGCCCATATATACATATTTACAAGCATGATGACAGCTCTTTTGTGTTGGAAAAGTATCTGGTTTGCGTCCGTGATACGGGAGCGGCATCTAGCGTAGACTCAAGCAAAATTACATTACGTTAACGGCGTATAGTCATGTGGCGCAAGTTCGTTTGCGTTCGCGGCAACGACGGCGATAACGGCGCACCAGCGCCTCAAGCGACCATGAGATGGCAGCTATAAATGACATCATATTGAGGAAATGCAGCGTGATCGAATAGTTGAAGCGATCGCGTATAAGACCTGAAACAAAACACATGAACAGAAACAGATTTAGGAGGATGTAGATTAATTAAAATGTAACGGTAGATATAATATAATCTTAATATTATATTTTGCGACACTTACCCACAAAAGGTCCGCAGGCAAAAGTAAACAGACCGGATATGAGCAATTGCAAGCCGGAAGCAGCTGGCAAACGTTTCAGCGGAACACAACCGGGTATGATCAGCGGCCAGAAAATGGTGCGCACACCTTTGCACATTCCAATCCAAACGAAGGTGCACAGTATGACCGTGTAGGAGCGAGTGCAGGCGACGACAGTGCGTCCGAGTGCAATACCAACGACGCCTGTGGAATAAAAATACATATTAGAAAGTGAATGTATCAGTAGTTAAAGCTTTTCAAAACGATTTCTGCTTTCAAATCAAATAGACAAAGATCTCCGAAGAGTATCCAAAATATCAAGATATAAATAAGAAGGAAATGCTGATAACGTAATTTAAACCCACCTTAGACCTTACCTATTAGGAAGAAGACACGATTATCCCACGGTATTTTCTCTGTGACGAAAGGCACAATGAAGCGCACAATAATATCCAAACCACCCAGCACAGACATAGCCGACGTGATTTGCGAGGTGGTAAATCCGAAGTCATTTAGTATGAATGGCGTTAGTATGGAAAAATTCAATTCACCGAAATTGATAATCGTCAAACCCATCACCAGATTGACGAACGTGAAATCACGCAACAAATCCAGATCAAAGAAAGCCACCACTTTCTGTAAGAAGGTGAAACTCTTCACAGAGATTGCGGCATCTTCGTCTTCCTCCGCCGTTGTTTCCAGCCTTTTATTGGTAAGACTTAAACGAAGCTGCGCCTTTTCGAGCAGCATACGCTCTTCAGCACAAGTACAATATAATGGAGCCGTCTTACCATGCAAGCTACCATGATGTGGTGGCGCACGAATGTTGCCATTGCTAGCCGATTGCTTCATAAGCACTTCGTCTCGTTCACGTTTGAAGTTGTTCGGTTTGTAAACCTCGGCCGTCTTCAGTTCTTCCTCAGATATCACACGATTGAGTCGTGTTATACCTTCGATATCTTTTGAACTGGAGACGGTACGAAAGCGTGGTGTACCCGCTCTATGCATTGAGGCCAACGACAACTTCGAACCGAACCAACCGTCATTGGCGCGGGACAACATCGGCGTGCCCGGCTCGATTATTTCATACCCAGGCATAGCTTCGTCATCGTCCTGATACAAGTATTGGCTGGAGAAGATGCCGTTACGTTTGCATTGTATTTGACAGTATTCACAGAGATATTCCGCTTCGCCGGCCGCGATGCCCGAATCTCCGGCCGCTTCGGGCGTATCGGGTGGTGGTGCATGATAGCGCACCGGCTGATAGATGAGTGCACAAACCATAGAATGCAAAGAGAGTGCGGCGAATATGATCACGGTTCCTTGTACACCATAATACGCAACAAATAGTGTGACTACGTGTGGCAAGAAAATCGGCCCTAGGCCAGTGAGTGTCCACGAAAAGCCAGCTGCGCGACGCCTTTTGTTCTTGAAGTATGTGTTTATGGCAAGTGACGAGGCGGACACGCTAATGCCGACACCAAAGCCTTGTGTATTAGGTTAGCGAAATACAAAACGAAATAAATGGACGTGTACGTTCTTAAAATAATTAGGTGAGTTGAACGTAGGAGACTTACCAAAGAGCAATGCATAGGTTATCATGTAGCCGATGAAGGATTCGCAAAAGGCTGTTAACATTAGACCCGCGAAGATGAAAAATGAACCTGCTAAGGCAACCTGGCGAAAGGTGAAGCGTCGAAACATTGGCCCATTTAAGAGTCCTGAAAACAGAAAATTTGCAAAGTTAAGAAATCAATTAAATTTGAGTTAGGAGCATAATAGAGTTAAATTTTATGTGTGCATTGCCTGACCTCTTGTGTGGTAATGACGAGTGGGAGAAAGTGTCTGAGAGGCGATTTTAAGCCGGCTATTAAGTTCTAATCTTCTTCGCTTGGTGGAGGGCACTCGAAAAGGTTACATTTTTAAAAAGCCTGAACGTGTACAAAAACCGGCTCTCCTAGGTATTCCTGAAAACTTAGATCACTGCGTTGCAGAGGTTAGAGACTTATCTCTGCTCATATCCCGAAGAGGGATAGGTGTTTGGTGAGGGATTGCTGGAGAAGAGGCGCAGTGAGCTTTTTCATGCATAAACGGAGGCTAGGAGGGATAGCATAAAGTTACTTCATTATCAGACTAGTTTGGGTGCCCGGACTTAGCGAAATCACTGGCAACTGCAAAGCCGACGAGGTAACCAGAGGAGATAGACTTGCCCCGTTCACATTGGAATGGGACCAAATTGGATTTGTATTTACATCTTGCAGCTATGGACCAATGGACAGCAGGCGCTGATCAACGACACGCTCCTGTGCGACCACTAGATGCCTGCCCTTTGCAAGCTCTTGATCAGCGATAAGGCCCATTTATGGCTCAATGGGTATGTAAACAAGCAAAAAGCAAACATGATAGCAAGACGGCACCACTTCCCACAAATCGCATCAGACAGTGGACTTATTGAGAGAACACTTCCGTGAGCAGATAATTTCACGTACAAACTCTCCGGTCGATTGCCCACTAACATCGAGTGATATCACACCATTAAAATTTTCTCCATGCGCTTCGATTCAAGCCTTGGAGCAAGACATCACGGGTGCCATTTGACAATTTCCAGTCGAAATGTTCGAACGGGTTATTGAAAATTGGACTCAATGGATGGACCATCTGAGACGTAGACACGGCTAACATTTAAAAAAGATAATATTCAAAAAATGAATGCTAAAGAATGTTGTTTCGTTGGATAATAAAAATTCCCCATTAAATTTGCAGTTTCTGTGTTTGTGTATAAAAAAATAGGGAACATCAAAATGGATCACCCTTTATATAAAAATTTTTTGTTCCCTAAAAGTAACAACCTCTTAGTTGAAAATGCAAACAAATTCACGAATTGATTTTCAATAACAGTAAGATGAGGTATGAAAATCGAAATGGCTGACATGCTGAGAAAATATTAGAAAACCTCAACAGAAAGGGTACTGAAAAGATATTGCCAATATTGAATTCTATTTTGAGGAGCTCCAAAAAGTACCTGGTTGTTAATTGGAATTTATGGATTTAGATCTTCTATATCTCAGTGATTGCTGATAACTCATATAATAGATATAACCGAATATGTCCACTTACCTGTACACGCCGACACAGCCGGATTCGTATTAATAATTGTTGTGATTTGTGAACTGGTTAGGCCTAGAACGCCTAAACGTTCGCGGAATATAAAACCGAACTGCTGCAGACATGGATAGATCGACAGCTAAAAAAGAACAAGAAAAAGTAAAAAGTTTTGAAATACATCCGTACAAATACTGACAAATTATGTATGATTGATGGTACAACTCACGTTCGAACAACCGGCAGCGATGCACACCAACCATGCCCATCCGCCATCTGGCGCTTTGAAATTCTCACCCAAATCACTTTTGTCGCGACGCACTTTCTTTGGCTTCGCCTGTGACTGTGACGTCGCTGCTGCCGGCTTTTTACTATTATCTAAGCCATCGTTGTTTTTGGTGTTGGGTAATATTGTCGCGCGATAGACTTGATCGCTGTTGTCGCATGCCGTTACTTTTTCCATCACTCATTGATATTTATTGACCGAAAGCTAAAATTAGAAATGAAAAATAAATAATTAGTTTTATGTTACCATCTTCACCGAATGAAGTGATTGAAGGCCGACCAGCCATTAAGGAAATTGATAAATGAGCTTCGTGAATGAAGCCATGCTCCAGAGTTTTTGTAGTGGGTGGTAAGAAACATATTGTAAATATCAATCTAATAGACTGTAATAGAATAGAGCTCGTTTCAAGAAACATACGATTTACAGTCTGTTTGTTGGTACATACATATGTAAGTCAAAATCATTACACGGGGCTTTTTATTACCCATTATTACTAAGATTTGATCGTCAATTTCACAGCCGAAGTTCTGGGAAATAAAATTTAGTCGTGAAAACAAAAAACAAATAAAATGTTGCATTAATAAAACTGTGGAACATCTAAATCTTGCCAGATGTCAATCAGAAACAAAGTGGCAACCCTCTACTATATAGTATACCTGTGTAGGAAATTTATTTTCTTTTCCAATTTATTCTCATTATCATGATATCATTATGGCACGAAAAGCAAACCTTTTAAGCTCGTGTCTTGTAAATACTCGAAGCAGCAGTGAATTCTCTCTAAGTCTACCAAAAAGAACGAAGTGATGTGAAAATAAAATACTCAAATTCGGTCAAAATGGGTTTTTGTTATTCAGATAATTGAAATTCAGATGAAAATTATGATTTGAACAAAATGTCGACAAAAAGCCTACTACGGTCCTGTTTGCTCATTTTAGCTCTAATTCAGCGCACGATGTTTTCTTCAATTTAACATACCCCCGACAAAGTAATCTAGAGGCGTTATATCGCAAGATCTTGGCGGCCATTTGACCGGCGGTTTCTCGAAATTAACGAGTCACTAAAGTTTGCACTCAATGTGTCCATGTGTCTCATGTGCCGGTACACTATATTTTTGGAAATAGACATCGTCCACGTCGACTTTATCAAGTCCCGGGAAAAAATCGGTCAGCATCGGGTTAGGTACAACGCTCGCTCCACACTAAACGGTAAATTTATAGGGATGCAATTACGTTTCCTAAACCACATGAGATTTTGACTCACCCCAATAGCATAATTTGGTTTGTTGATGAAGCCAAAAATGGTTTTCATCATGTTTAAGGCGAAGGGCTCTTACAGTAAAAACCAGAGAAGGTGAATTTTCATAATAATTTTGGACAATTTCCAAGCGTTGTACCAAAGTAAAAGGTGACATGATCTAACTAAACGCACTGAAAAAATTTTATACTAATCCGCAAACAAACGTGGTCGCCACGAGCCTTCAAAATGCCGTCATTTTGGTAGACGCTTTATAGTAGAATCCTCCGTTTCCAACAAATGTATAAATAAGCAATTGGAGCATACACAAATAAAAACAAGTGATAAGGTAGAACCAAAATACCAACTTTTAGCATCGTAAATAATTAAATAGCTCTGAAGCGAAGATTTATTTTCATATCCTCTGAAACTTTACGAGAATAACGAAAAATTTGCCCAAGCAATGAAACCCGGTTTACCTAAATACTGAGTTTTAAATTTATAATAAGATGGAATATAGTAGTTTTCTATATGAACTTTCTATATGAACTTCTTTCTTTACAAAACAAAAAAAAAAAAAAAAACAAAAATAAAAAAAAAATTACATGGTTACCTAATAATACCTAAAACTTTTAATTGCCAAGCATCAGAGATTAGTGAGCTGAAGAAGCTTTGAGAGGTGTTCAATCAGACTGACAGGACTTGAAATATAATCTTGCTCTAATATGTCCTATGATGTCTAAAGCAAATATCAATATTTTTTTAGTTTTTCCACGACAACATCTCGTAGGAATAAATACGAGTATTTTAATGTTTGGTTTATGGGTGATTTAAATACTGTCCTGTATATGATTTAGTGACAGTTATAGATAATTATTTTAGTAGTTCGACCCCGGGGACGTGTGCGGCTCGGAAAGGTTTTTTAATATACAAATTACATTTTTACCCAAAGAAATTCACTTCAGTATGGGGTCACAGCATATATTGTTGAAAACATCTTGGCTTATACATGACAGATGTCAAACAGAAGCTGGACCCGTGACAATTTTCTTTAATTCAATAGGAGACGATAGGGATAATTGAATATTAATAATTGATAATTAGTCATTGAGATTTGGAGTATGGAAGAAGAAAAGAGACTCCCACAGCCATTGGGGAAATGGCAGTGAAAATGGAGATTGGTGATCTTTGAAATATTAGCGTGCACCAGGTTGGCCTTACCTGGAAGGTGGTTGAAAGAGGAAGTAACTGAGACAATTTATTTATTTTCCAATTATTACCTACGAATGTATCAATAAATTACATATACTAATAGCTTATTTTCAAAAAAATTACAAACAATATGATTGGGTCATAACAATTCTTTGAAATCCAAAAGATATGCTTATGTATGTATACCTTATTTTTTATAGCCATACATGCAGGTATGTATGCATACTTATAACACCTATATAATATATACTATTTTCGAAGCCTAAGTTGCTGTACATTCGTTTGGTATGTATAGTATACACTTGTTTGGATTTAAAACCCCCGTTCAATGACCTTAATTTTAAAGATTAACGTCTGGTTCATTGTTTGTTATATTGATAGATCAATAGATTGACCTTTACAGTGGCAGAAATTTTTGATTTTAGATTTTTTGCTATCAAAAATTATTCAAAAAATTCGCTTTAAGTGAGAATTCTCATTACACCATTTCATATATACATATGTATGCATATGCATATTTGAAGCTGATAATAAGGAAAGCATTTATACGACAATTAAAAATAATAATAATAAAAAACAAGAAAAAATATACACATCGGTTGCACTGAAGCTAGAATACCCTTAACAAATAAAGAAGTTTTCATGCAAAAACTTGACTTTATCTTTCAGTTGGTATTCCAGCTATATCGCATAGTATTTCGATCTGTAAAATATCTTCAAATATTGTGGCGTTAAAAACTTAATTTTGATCATAAGGTTCTTATGATAGCTAAAAGCTATAGTAAGATAGATTGCGTTATGAGGTCGATCCTAACAGGGATCTTACTTAAACAACTTAAAATTGTGATACCTACAACTCCAATATAATAGAATTTTACAAATTGACAAATCGATTTGAGCCTATCATAAATTTGTTACGACAACTACTGTCAGCTTCGGCTATATCTTCTGATGCGCCGAATGTAAGACTACCGAGATGTTTAGCCTCAGTCTTGCAAATTCTGGACAATATAGGAGAAAGTGCCTGGCTATTATGCTATGGTAGTTCGATCTGAAAAATATATTCAGAAAGTGTTGAATTGCTTCTTGGAAAAAAATTTATTACACAGCTAAATAATGATGGCGAAATATTTAGCACAAATAGTTGGGCGGTTAAACCTTATCAGTAATATAAAGTAAATATGTATGTATATTACATGCAAACATAAGTTGTATGTATTGTATTTGTATGATTGAATTTCAATGACGCAATCTCAATTTATGATTCTATTTCATACTAATTAACTTAAACTGAGTTGGTTTTGTTTCAATTAAGTGAATAAAAATTACAAGTTTCCGATGCTTATTAGAATTCTAGAATCTTGCTTTATATCCAATAAATCAAGATAATATACGTTAATATATAATATAATATAAAAAAAAAAAAAAAACATTTAAAAACTGGATTGATGTAATACTAAAATTTTTAACATAGTTCAAGCATAGAACTCAATTAACTTATTTGGATGAGGAACTGAAGTGGGGAGACATGACAGCTGCGTCTGGAAAACGAAAACCAATCCGATTTTTATTTAGCCAAGGCAATTTTCCAACAAAAATATTTGGAAAGTGTGCTCTAATGTTTCAAAGAAGTATGACCCTTCAAGAAATTTAGGCAGGTAGGTAGGTTGATATAGTTCAGCTAATTAAAGGGGAGCAGCTACGCTGGAAAGGTCATGGCGACTGAATGGATGGACACACTCCAGCTCGAAAAGCATTCGACGCAGTACAAGCCCGGAGAAGCAGAGGAAGACGAAGAACTCCACTCCGTTGGAAAGACCAGGTGGAGATGGTCCTGGCTACACTTGGAATTTCCAATTGCCACCAAACAGCGGAAAGGAGAGCAATTGGCACGCTCTTGTAAGCTCGGCTATCACCGCATATGTGATATCTACACCAATAAAGAATAAGAAAAAGTAGGTAGTGAGTTTCTGTCTAGCGATGCACCTTTAGTATGTCCATTGTGTTACTACGGGGACTAAAGTGCCCTTGTCCTATTGGCTGGACTCTGAACCATCGTTCTGCTGAAGAAGTTCATCAGTATGAAGTTTTATGTGTACTATTTCCTACAAGTCATCAAGAAACCTTCGACTGTTAGAGCTTTACAATTGCATTGAAAATATCTGATGGGTATTAAATCCCTCAACACTCAGCTATGTTTATAACATATTTGTCGATTAGAGATATGCAAGTGGCTAGAGGCATATAACTTGCCTCTTTTTCGGAGTCCTATTCTGACTAATCTAAGAGCTTCGAAATTTCTCCAGAGCTACATATACCCATATTACCATGAGATTAAATAATGGCCTTTATACTTTTGGCGAGTTACGAATTCTTTTTCTATTGAGAAAAATTTCAAAATTATTACAACCTTCTTGGCAATTGGCATTAAATTACGTGCCCATAAAAATATCTAAAACAAATAGTTTTATCAAAAATATCAATCTCAAACGGCACGAGCATAATGTGCTTCTTATTCAGCATTAATATTTCCACACAATAATCGTTTATTAAACAAATAAAATAAATGAGTAGCAATAAATTGCAATATATTGGAAAGCGTTGGAACAAAACTATTGCGCAAAAACGAGGAATTGCTACTATCTTCTGTTAATTAGACTAAATGCATCCATACTATATATCACACTATGTACACGTTCCCCATTCATTAGTGTAAATCAATATAAACAGTTGCTTATCGGTGTTTGCATTTATATGGT